AGTGGGAGATATGATTGCTATAGATAGGTCCTTTGTTGGATTTGTTTGGAAATTTCTGGGAGAGCAGTTATCTCTCTTGCAATTAAGTTATTTAAGGAAATTTCAGTTGGGTCCAGTTGGTTGGGAAATTCAGTTTGCAAGGCTTTAAAAAAACGTCATTAGAAGTTGCACTAGAATCCAATTTTATGAGGATTATTGTTAGGAGAAGCCTCATTCAAAATTTTTTTCTTCTTTTTTTTCGATAAGTAAATACCTTTTTAAAAAAAGGCGCTTAACAGGGGAGTGCTCCCAAAGGAACACACAACGCACACAAAGAGACTACCATAACTTAAAGTTATCCACAAAATCCAAAAGATGCCCCACAGATTTACAGTTTCACCAATTAACCCAAAAAATAGAGTAGACAATATGTTGTATTTAAGAGGCCCAAATAGGAGATTCCTCTCCATCGAAGGATCTCTATTTCTCTCATGCCACAGACCCCACCATAAACAAAGGGGAGTGGTCTTACACACATCTCTGGCTCGGCTCGCCACTATACACCCTTTCCAAGCCTCAACATGTCCACCCTAGAACTGGAGAAACCCAAAACATGCCAAATGCAACTAAGAACATAGACCATACATCCCTTGCCATTGGGCAATGAAGAGGAAGATGGTTCATGGTCTCCTTTGTCTTCTTGCACATGAAACACCAATTTACCACAATCTGTCGTCTCCTTCTGAGATTGTCAAGAATGAGAGTGTTTCCGAGGGCAGCTGTCCAAGCAAAAAAAGCCACCTTCAATGGGGCTTTCAACTTCCAATAGCCTTCCAAGGTAATTTGGGCCCTGGGATCTCTGACAGGCTCTGATAGAAAGATCGAACCTCAAAAATCCTTCTTGGGGAACCCACCCAAACTATCTTATCCATCCCCTCTCCCTCCACCACCTGGCTGTGGAGAAGGGCTAAGAACTCAACGACCTCCGTAAGCTCCCAATCATGAAAGTCTACGAAACTGCACGTTCGAGGATAACCTCCTGTTATCAAGTCGATGACCGTCAGCAACCAGAGCACATCTGGTTGTGGAGATCCTAAATTGCTGAGGAAACTTGCGAGCCAAAACATAGTCCCCACATCAGCAATCCTCCCAAAATATGACCTTTTCTCCCGCTCCAAACTCTAAACCGAATGCGTTTGGAGAACTTGCCCCATTAGAGAGGAAACAAGGTACAAGAGTAGGATGAGTTACTTCAAAGAAAAAGAAGAAGATTATGGACAATACAAAACCTTTAAAAACTGCAAAATATACAACAAAAAGAGCATTACCTGCTACAAAAACCCTTAAAATCTCTTCATGCAAATCATAATTAGAGAAAAAATAATCTCTCTGTTGTTTTTTCTTTTCTTTTTTTTTTTTTTTAAAAAGAAAAGAAGAAAACATCATCATGTACTTTGTACTGGAATAATCATGTCAGAGTTAGATTTTTATATCGAAGGAAAGGTCGTACATAAATGATATTATATGATTGTTGTTTCCGTTTCTTCAGTATAACTATGGAGTGCAAGATTAATTAGATTTACATTTATCTTCAAGTTTTCCTTTCTACTTTCTGTAACTAACTTCAATATCTCTGTTTCTCATTATTTTTTTCCCTTATTCTCCTTCTAATGTTGGTAGGGAGTAGCTATGAAGGACAAGAGAAATCAAACTGTGCTTTTTGTGTTTCTGTTTCATATATCTATAGTTGGTCCTTGAGGTCTGAAGTTTTGTCCACATGCCCACTTGGCATTTTCGTACATTCTTAAACTTCCACATACTGATTCCAATTTTCAAGTGAACAAAGTCTACCAAAAGCCAAATGTTGAAATTTATTATACTATTTTTTTTTTTTTTTGGTTATCTCCAAAGTGAAAAAATAAAATGCTACTATATTTATTTTTTGTTGTTGAATTTCATCAATTACATAATCCTTCATAATTTTTTCCTATTATTTATTGTTCTATGCAGAAAGTTGTGAATTAATCCCTCTTCTAGGTCGTCCAAAGTTTAAAATTGTAATTGAACTTTCTGTCTTGTGTTGGAATCAGGTTAAAGTTGTTTGAAAAAAGAGTATGTTTGAAAGGGCGAGCCCAATTGCGTAAAATATTATCTGTTATCGCAAATGTGGCACTGCTGAATGACACAACTAGAAGTCTGTCTTTGTGTCATGATTGGGAACATGCTTGTCCATATTGATGTCATTAGCTTGTGCTGCAATTGACCTAATTTTGTTAGTGGGTTTTGACAGAATCTGATCATGTTATATAGATGTAGTACATTGGTGACATTATTTTTCAATGTCCAACTCCTTTTTTGATTTGGTATTCCTTTTTTTTCTTTTTCTTTTTCTTTTGGTAGGTACTCATTAGGTTTCACCAAAATTTATTCTTGCTTGGGACTCTGTATTTTATAGCTTTGTGAGCCAAGAGAGTCTTGCTTAAAGATTATGTTATTTTAACCTGTATTAGGTTTTTCAGATGGAAATAAATGGAAGCATTTTGTATGATAGAAGTGAAGACCTTGATTAAATGTTAGAAAGGATTAAGGAGAATTCTTCTGTCTGGTTCATTTTTGGAGGTTATTGTTTCCTCCTATGCGAAGTGTCCTTGGGTTGCAAATCATGAAGTTGGCCTTAAACTTACTATGGATAAAATTGATAAATGTGCCTTTTGGGAAATCCTGTTCAGTGGGATATTCTCTTTCTTTGTAGGAGTGCAACATTTTCTTTTGTTTTCTGAACTCGTGAAGTGTAGGGGGCTTTTGTCATGCTCGAATGTTGAATCATCTCTTGGTGCCAAGGGAGCTCAAGGATGAGAATGGTCATTGAGATCCATTATAGAGTGAGATTTTATGGATGTGATTTATTGGAGTTTGGATTTTAGTTGCATATTCTTTTTATTTTATATACCTTCATAAGTCTAAGGGAATGACAGATCTGGAAAGACCCTACTGTGTCGTTTTCTTAATTGCTAAAGTCTGCTTGTAAGTGGATTCCAAGTAATAAAGGGGCTGGTGTTATATGTTTTGGAGTAGCCTTGCTATAAGGAAATCGCCCCGTGGGTGGGGGGTGTTGAGTTTCTCTCCGGAAAGACTCAGATCAGATTATTTGTGCTGAGGTTGACAACTGGATTAAAGGATGATACCTCAAGTTGAGGCATTTTTTCACACCCTAGCGTTTCTTGTATTAAGTAGAAATATCCAACTTTCCATGTGTGGAACTTTTGTACAATTTACTCCCCGTTGTTGCTGTTATTTTTGTTTTATTTTTATTTATAATATTGCAGCCTGGAGGAGTCTTCTATAATAGGTCTTTTTCTTTTAAATGTTGGAGCATGGAGGAGTTTTATATAATAGGTCCCACCTTGGATTTCGTTGGGTTTGTCATTGGATCTGATCAAGATCTGATACCTACCTAACCAAATAGGATTAAAATCTAGTTTTGATGTTGCTTTCGATCCGCCAGTTTGAATCAGGGCCAGTTTTAAAGATATCCAATTAGAAACACTTGTCTACAAAAGAAAAAGAAAAAAAGAAACATGTGATTATTAAAGACTATCAATCTTGAACTTTTGAACCTTTGTAGATTTTGTCCTACTGCTTTTGATCCGTCTGTTTGGATCAACCAGATTAAAGATATCCGATTAAAGACAATTATAAAAAAAAATTAAGATATCTGATTAAAGATTATCAAGCTTGAACTTTTGAACCTATATAGATTTTGTCCTATTAAGATCTTGGTTTATTTATATTATATTATATATTCATTTAATGAGAACGATCCATTATATTCTTAAGATATCATGTAGTATAATATTATTTTGTATTAAATTTCTATTTTTTTTTTTTTATTATTTATTTTGGATTCAGATTGAATATGGATTTTTAGACATTTTATTGACTTCAAACTCTATTTGCATTATGAAGGATCTGTCATTTTTGGTTCCGAACTTGGACCAAAGTGTGTATAATTGGTTTCAAATATCAATCCTGCCACCCATTGAAAGCCGTGATTTTTTATTTTTATTTTTTTCCCACCTAGGGTCTCGCAAAACTTATGTTTTTGTTGCAACTCATGCTTAATTTTTAACGACGGCCTCAAACTAACTCGACTCAATTGTTAAGATGCTTGATTTCTTTTATGACTCCTTTTAACAATATTATGAAAGAAAAAGCTCTTGAACGGAAGTAAGAGGGACCTGTCCCCGTTTTCTGTGTTAATTGGGGCATTTTGACTACAGAAGTGTTTTTTTTTTTTTTTTTTGGGGAAATTAACTACAGAAGTTAGCGTACATGTATAATTGATTATATCCTTTTGTTCTGCTTTTCAAATTCAAAAGAATGTGCTATAGTTGGACACTCTTCTAAAAGGTTTTGATGTTTCGTACATGCCCCAAAACTTTGATCCTTCTAACAACATGGTTTTCTTGTTTCCTTAATTGAATCTATGCCTCTTTTTACTTTCCCATTTCAGAATATATTTATGTTTTTTATGCTTTCTGCTCAAGCCAACTTGTTAAGCTTTACAGGGACACAAGTACTTCCTCTCTCCTATCCCTTTTGTCTTACCTATTTGTTTCTTTTAAATATTTCTCCAGATATTTCCCCTTTTCTTCTTCTTGTTGTGACAGGTCTCATGTAAAGTGTAAACGCCTGGTCTTTCTAATAGGGGTTAGCATACTATACTCCCCAACACTTTGTGCCGATCTCTTGCCAATAAACAACTTTCCAGCCTCATATTCAACTGAAATACTAGAGCTATATAATCTAATAATTACATATATGTGTGTGTGTTTGCGCGCATGACATGTATAATATATTCGAGAATGTATAAGGCTTATATCTTTAGTATATGTGGATGCAGGTGTTTTTTTTTTGTATGCATCTATCTTTTGCTGCATATTCTTAGTACTGCAAAATATGAATAATGCAAATTTGATTTATGATGTAATATTAATCTAATTTTTTCTTATGAAGAGCAGGACTGGAAGTGGTCGGATTAGTGCTTGCGGGGGTAATGGTTTTGGTGGTGGTGGTGGGGGAAGAGTTTCTGTTGATATTTTCAGCAGGCATGATGACCCTAAAATTTTTGTTCATGGTGAGACTCTTGAAACACCTTTGCTATTGTTTCACTTCTGTTTAGAGGAAATAGTACCTTCTGTTCCCTCTCCGGTTCTTTAATCAACAATATTAAACGGAATTAATTAGCAATTGAAGATTCCTAGAGTTGATATTGCATAGTTGAGGTGTTAAAGTAATTAGTTGTTAGAATATGAATATATAAATAGTGAATATGAATAGAAAATTAGATATGATATAAATTTTTTAGAAATGACCCTTTGACTACTCCACATGATGCACAGGCTAGGTAAAATATAAAAAAAAGAGTATCAACTTTTTTAACAATGATGTAAATAATAAGGAAAATACTACTACTAAAAAAGGCTTAGGAATTTGAAGATTTAAATTTGACATAAATAATGTTAAGGCAAGAAGGAAAGAGTGTACGCACAGAAAAAGGGTATGAGTATAAGAGTACAATTAGAAGAATTTATACAGGATCTAAGTTCATTATGGGATTGGGGAATGGTATAAATATATTGGAATTCTATGCAAGATATAATAAGTATTATTGATAGAGTTAAAGGATAAATACAGAATATATTAGTGTATATATGAGATATAGGTTCTTTATGGGATTGGGAAATGGTATAAATGATAAATCTAATGGAAATGCAAGATATAATAAGTATTAGGGTTAAGTGCAAAATACACCCTCACTATATACGAGATGTGCAAAAAACTCCCCTATTAGAAAAAAATTGCATTTAACTCCCTGTATTATCCATCTTTTGAGCAAATTACCCCCTAATCATCAATTTTGACCAACTTTTTTTTTATAAAAATCCCAAAATACCCTCCAAAATAATTTATTTTATTTTTCTCACTATCCTTTGTCTCTCTTCAAAACCTTTATGTCCATTCATCACGGTGCCTGCGAACACCATTTCCGGCAGATCAATACAACAATATTTTGCCTTATCTATTAGAAGCAGATTCATTTTAATTTGTCTTCCTTACATTTGAAAGATTTTGATGGTCTTCATCAGGGACAAAGCAAGAACTACTTAAAGCAATAATGAAATTCTCTACATCTTCCGATCTGTGATTTTCACTATATAATCAATTGAGAGTTGGGTTTGTCTGTTTTTTTTTTTTTTTTTCCCCTTCCTCTTCCTCTTCCTCTTCCTCTTCCCTTTTTTTCTTGCAGAAGAATTTGCAGGAATCACATATCAACTTCGAATGGATCAAAGTATCAAGTCTTCAAATTTACCCACCCAAGATTTGAAGGAAACCCAGTAGTGGCAGTTGTGGGGTGGGGATGGTGGCGGCAGCCGTCGATTGTGGTGGGGGCTGTGACCGCCGTCCAAGTTGCCGGCCTTGTCTTGGCCATCCTCGGCTTCCTTATCTTCCCCTTCATTTGGTTCGTCCTTCGGCCTTCGTCACTACCTCGCAATCCTCTTCTCCACTTTCGCCCTCTCCTTTCTCAACTACACTGGCCTCACCATTGTTGGCTACGCCGCCGTCCTACTCGGCGTCGTCTCTCTCCTCCCCTTCATCCTCATGTCCTGATCTTATAATTGATCATTAGTATTATTTTATTTCTTTCATGGGGTATTTTAGACATTTCAATTGCCAAATTGACATAATGTCCTTATTTGCACAAATTGAAACAATATGAGGTTTTTTGCACATCTTATATATAGTGAGGGTGTATTTTGCACTTAACCCTAAGTATTATTGATGAAGTTAAAGGATATATACGGAATATGATAGTTATAATTTAGTTGTTGAAGGTGAAACGGATAGTAAATGAAGGAAAAGGGCATACATGGAATAGAATGTTATTTATGAATAACATGTATTATAGAATTTGTTGTGAATTGCAATAACGTTAGTTCCACTTTTAATTTACTTATTTGCCGTTTGCTTAAAGATTGAGAGACCAATATTGCCATTGTGTATATATTACTTTTATGCTCTTGCCCTTGGTAATATTAGCTAAGAATATGGCAGGAAGCCTACTTTGAAAACATATTATCATGCAAGTTAATTTTGTGTTATATTTTATACACAATTGTATATTATAAGTTTTAAATATATTGTATTATTGTGTTGTTATATGTTTTTTATATGAGATGACGTCACTATGTGCGATTTCACCGCACTAGGGACGACTTGTGGGGCGATTTGAGTTTTGTTAGGTTGGGATGAAATCCTTTTTGGAAATTGCAAGATTGCCAAGAATCTCGCTTGGTGGGAAAGTGAAGTCGGCAGTTCCTCACCGAGGACCGTCGTTGTATATTGACGGGGAGTCCGTCGGAGGAAGGAAGTCAGTCCTTTCCTCTTGTTTGGTCGAAAGATTTGATAAGGAAGTGGGGAGTTGTGATCGTGTGAAAGAATGGGCAACGCGGGCTTGGAATACGACTTGTGGAGTGGGGGTAACACCGTTATCCGATTCACTACTTCTTTTCTGGTTTCCTTCTCAGGCAGAGGCCAAACGTGTGTTGAAAGAAGGGCGACGACAATGGGGTTCTGCAACTTTGAGGATCGACGTGTGGTCCTTCCATGTTGGGTGTTGTGGCGTTCTTAGTGATAAAGGTCTCAAGCAAATCTGGCTGTTTGGCCTCTCATTGCATCTCTGGTGTCATGCTTTGTTCGTCGAAGTGGGAGAGATTTGTGGTGGATACGTGAGATCTGATGCGGATGAGACTAGGGATGCCGAAAGCGTTCGGATAACAGTGAGATCCAGCTGTGAATGTCCAAAGTTCTTGTTTATTAATGACGACACCTTCTGTTACAAGGTCGCGATTTGGGAAGAAATCTCGCCTGAGCTTGTTCCTTCAACGGAGAGTCTTGAAGGTAGTGACGGATCTCATCTTATGTCGGAAGAGAAATGGAATGAGATTCTCAGTAAAGGAAAAGAGAGGGTTCTCGAAATTCAGCAGTGGCTGAAGGATCGCAAATTTCAGCAAGTAGTGAAGTACATAGGAGGTAGAAGACGAAGTGATCTTCCCGCGCCGGCCAAACGCGTCGTTGATGAGCAGAGAAGGAGTACACGTGGAGATCAATGGGGTGCTCCTTCTGATTCGGCCTTATCCTTATCTCTTGATGATAAGGTAGGGGAGGATTTGTCTTTTTGGGCTGAGGATGGCGGTGTGATGGGCCAGAAGATGTCTAGACAGGCTAGGAGAAGAAGTCTAGACAGGCTAGGACTGGGCCTGGTCTTAATCTTGGGCTCATTTAGCCTAAACCCAATAGAGCGAATTTTGGTTCTGGGCCTTTTCGACGGGTACAGAAAGGGCCGCTTAAATTCGGGTCAAGTGGGCAGATTTAGGTTGGGCCTATTAGATCTGGGCCTAATAGAAGGATGCGAAAAGGGCCAAACTCTTTATTTGTCTCCTTCCCAAACACCAAACCTGGCCCTAAGCCATTTAAAGAAGTACAAGCCCATGCTAAGCCTTCGACTCATTTGCTGAAACCCGAGCAGAGGATGATGGATGTCGGTCGCCATGGATCTCGGTGGACTCGGAATGAAAAACAGAAAAGGGTTGCACGCGCTCACACTTCATTTTTAGGTTTGAGTTCTGATCATTCTCAAAATGCTCTCTCTACTTATACTTCTTCTTCTTCGAGTGGAGAGGTGAATAATAGGGATGTCGTGGAGGATGTTTCGATTCAACAGAGGGGTCTTATTGGGTCTTCAGGTTCATGGTGTGATGGGTTAGAGTTGGATGTCTCAAAAGCCACAACTGGGAGTGTGGGTTGTTTCAATGGAGTGACAGTTTGCGTTGGGAAAGATCTGCACTTCAAGTTGAATAATGACTCAGCTGTAGCTTTGCTTAAAGAGCTTCGGCTCTTTGCTACATTTGAAGGTTTGAACAGTCAATCATCTGCGAATGAGATGATTTTGTCAACTGATCATGATGATTCGGAAACAGAGGGGAATATGCAGTTAGGAGTGGTTAATGTTCCTTCTCAGCAGCACTGTTCTAAAGATTCTTTTTCCAGGACGGATTTTGATCAATCTGAAGTGGATTTAATGGAACCTCTGGCAGTTGTACGGCCAAATTGTTTGGAGACGACCACTGATCTGGGCATGGAATGGGTTATCGAGAATATTGGAGCAGTAAGTGAAGCTTTGGGTGTCTCTTCAGAAGGGTATGAGGAACAAACCTTGTCTATTCTTCACGAAATTGTTGCAAGAAATGGTAGTACTGAACTTAATCGTGGCACAAAAGAAATCAAAGTCAGAAATTCACATCGGAAAGGCGAACAAGAAGTGAAGAATCTGATTTCTTATGTTAATTATGACGGGAAGAATGGGACGACCAAAGGAAGGGGAAGAACCAGAAGTGGTAAACGGGGAGGAGGAGGAGAATTGATCATTTTTGGTTCTACATGAAGCTACGACTTATAACATGGAATGTTCGGGGTCTAAATGATCCGAAAAGAAGAAGAGTTGTCAAGGTAGCTTTGAGGAAGTGGAGTGCTCATGTCGTTTGTTTACAGGAAACTAAGATGGCTGCTATCACCGTTGAGATTGTCAGAAGTCTTTGGGGAGGTAGGTTTGTGGAATGGGAAGTGCTGAACGCAACACGCACTTCAGGTGGTATTCTTCTCATGTGGGATCGTAAGTGGTTGTCAAGTTTGAATTGTTGGAAGGGTATTTTTTCTGTGTCTTGTTTGTTTCAGATGGGGGAAGACAATTTCAGATGGGTGTTTTCAGGTGTTTATGGGCCTGTTACTGATAGTGATAGACCAGTCCTATAGGAAGAGCTTTGCTATGTTAAGGATTTATGGTCATTGCCTTGGTGGTCCCCATTTGAGAGGCCCACAGGGGGCAGGTGGTCCTCAGAAATGACCATGTTTTCAGAATTCATTGATAGTAATTTCCTCATTGACCTACCATTGGAAGGAGCGGCCTTTACTTGGTCTAATGGTAGGGAACCGGTTACTTTTTCCTGGTTGGATAGATTTCTTATTTCGGGGCGTGGGAAGAGCATTTCCCGGATATCTCTCAGGCTGTTTTGGTTA